ATGACTTGGATAATGGAGTGGACAGTATGTTATAAAATTTACAGATGACACCGAGGTGGAAGGGGAGGCTAGCACTTTGGAGGACAGGATTAGAATTCAAAATGACCTTGAGAAATTGGAGAATTGGTCTGACATCAACAAGATGAAATTCAATAAAGACAAGTGCAAAGTGCTACACGTTAGGAAGATAAAATCAATGCACAACTACAAAATGGGGAACAACTGGCTAGGTGGTAGTACTGCTGAAGAGAATCTGGGAGTTATATGGGATCACAAACTGAATACAAGTCAGCACTGTGATGCAGTCGTGAAAAAGGCAAATATCTTTCTGGGGTGTACTAACAGAAGTGTCATATATAAGACCCGGGAGTAAATTGTCCTGCTCTACCCAGCACTGCTGAGGCTTCAGCTACAGCACTGTGTCCAGTTCTGGGCACCACACTTTAGGAAAGAGGAGGATAAACTGAAGAGCATCCAGAGAAGAGCAACAAAAATGATAAAAGGTTTAGAAAACCCAGCCTGTGAGGAAAGGTTAAAAAACTGGGCATGTTTAGTCTTGAAGACTGAGGTCGGACCTGGTAACAGGCTTTAAATATGCTAAGGGGCTATTATGCTGAGCATGGTGATCATCTGTTGTCCACGTTCCCTGAAGGCTGGACAAGAAGTAATGAGCTCCATCTGCAGCCAGGGAGATTTGGGGAAAACTTTCTAATTACAGGGGTAGCTAAGCTCTGGAATAGGCTTTCAAGGGAGGTTGTGGAATCCCCATCTCCATCACTGGAGATTTTTAAGTACAGGTTGGAGAAACCTCTGTCAGGGATGTTCTGTGTTTATTTGGTCCTGCCTCACCACAGGGGGCTAGACTCGATGACTTCTCTAGGTCTCTTCCAGCCCCACATTTCTGTGATTTATGGTTTTGGAGTATTTATTTTAAAAAGAAAGGCCCCAAACAAGCTAGCCACTGGGCAAATGCGCAGAAATAGACAGCACCTGATCCAAAGATCTTACAATCTGAATATCACGACAAAAGATGGAGGAAATTGCTGAGATGACATCTCAGCAACAGAGGGGTATCTATGTGTGGTCTCCAGAGTCTTGACACACTTTTAAAATGGCTGCGGACTTCACTTGAATTCCATTCAACCTGAATTACACTTTTAAAAAACAACCACCAATAGGCTTCCTCCCACAAATGATATGACCCATAACAGGCCATTTTGGTCAAGAGGTCTAATATATTCAGGGGTAAATTTTCCAAGGCGTGGCATAATATGCACCCACAATTTAATTGCTGATGCAAAGCAGATTATTTGAGCAGCTGCAATCAGGTAGCTAGAGCTCAGTGCCTGCAAAACCAGGCAGGGCTACAGAGCAGCTGAATATGTAACCCTTAATGATTGCTTTGCGTGTTCAACAAGATAAAGATTCTTCTTTTGTTTGCTTTAAATTATTCTTCTTTGGTTCAGGTCTTCAGTTTTCTGGCACTAGAAATAGTTTTGATACAGCTGATTTATGCTTGTCACCAGCTATTTTGAGAATATCAAGCCTTTGGATGGTAGCTGGCTGACTTGAAACAGATATTTTTGAATGCCAGTCTCTTGTCAAAACCTCCTGGTTTCAACACGAGGCCTGGCTGAATGAGTGGGAGAGAACTGCGAGCAGCAGTTAAAAGCGTGGTTGTTTTGTGTCCTTTTCAGTGGCCTGGCAGTAAGAAAAAAACAAACACAAAAACCCCATCAGGCTATAGGGCGTGAAAATGATATTTAATTAAAGTACCAGTTCACAGTACTAGAGATGCAATTACTAAAGAACATTTATAATGGAATTAGTGGAGCAACTTTTCAGAAGCTGTTCTATGAAGTACACAGCAGTGGTGAAGAAATAAGCAGAGCAAACAAATATGTCTAAGCTATAAAGGAGAACTTGTTCCATAGATTCCAAAGCCAGAGGGACCATTGTTGTCATCTAGTCTGACCTTCTGTATAACACACTCCAGAGAACTTCCCCAAAATAATTCCTAGAGCAGATCTTTTAGAAAGACATCCAGTCTTGATTTAAATATTGTCAGTGATGGAGAATGCACCATGACCCTTGATAAATTGTTCTAACAGTTAATTATCCTCACTGTCAAAAATGTACACCGTACTTCCAGTCTGAATTTGTCTAGCTTCAACTTCCAATCATTGGATTGTGTTATACCTTGCTCTGCTAGAAGTGAAGATCCCATTATTAAATATTTGTTCCCCATGTAGATACACCTCTACCTCGATACAACGCTGTCCTCGGGAGCCAAAAAATCTTACCGTGTTATAGGTGAAACCGTGTTATATCGAACTTGCTTTGATCCACCGGAGTGCACAGCCCTGCCCCCTCGAAGCACTGCTTTACCGCATTATATCCGAATTCGTGTTATATTGGGTCGCATTATATCGGGGTAGAGGTGTACTTACAGACTATAATCAAGTCACACCTTAACCTTTTCTTTGTTAAGTTTCATAGGGTATGTCTTCACTACCCGCCGGATCTGCGGGCAGCGATCGATCCAGCGGGGATAGATTTATCGCGTCTAATCTAGATGCGATAAATCGACCCCTGAGCGCTCTCCCGTCGACTCCTGTACTCCACCGCCGTGAGAGGTGCAGGCGGAGTCGATGGGGGAGCAGCAGCAGCAGACTCACCGTGGTGAAGATACCACGGTAAGTGGATCTAAGTACGTCGACTTGAGCTAAGTTATTCACGTAGCTGAAGTTGTGTAACTTAGATCAATCCCCCCCCCCCAGTGTAGACCAGGGCATACTCTTTGTTTCTCGCTGTAAGGCATGTTTTCGAAGCCTTTATTCATTCTCGTGGCTCTTTTCTGTACCCTCCTTAATTTATCTATTTCCTTCTTGAATTATGGGCACCAAAACTGAACACAGTATTCCAGCAGCAGTTGAACCAGTGCCAAATACAGAGATAAAATAATGACTCAATGCAAGTGCGAATCGCAAAGATGTAGATATTTCCATGCATGAGGTTGCTGGAAAAGGTTATTGTAGCACATTGGCTCTGTGCACTGAATCTTGAGAATAGGTATCCTATTAAAAATAAGCTTTTTAAAACTAATTTCCCTGATTTTTAAAGGTGCTGAGCACATATGTGTTCCCACTAACTTCTACAGAAAGCTGCGGTTGCTCAGGACCTCTGAAAATCAGGGCAAATTTACTTCATTTATATGTTTTTAACAATCTGGGAAGAGCAGTAACACACCAAGTACATGGCTCGTACTAGTTTCCTCAACTTCTCAGATTGTTGGACGTTACTAGACTTTTGGCATCACATGCTGAGCACTAAGGGCAAAGCTATTGATTTTTGGTGTCATCAGAACTCTGCAGGAATGATATAACCGTAACAGTTTCCCTGTGTTGCAAAATATTTTGAAACATTTGAAACCCTTGAGCAAAGGTCTGATTATCAGTGATGACCCGTTGTTTAGATACAATATTGACAGACATATGGAAATTAGACATATAGATAAAAAAGCTGCTAAACATTGTATTTGCTAGAGAACTGTTTAATTAGACTATTAAGGGTCTGAAACTGACCATAAGCCAGCAATTATTCTTTATGAAGTCCCTGAGTGACTGCCCTCTGCAGATTAAAAAAATTATGATCAAGCTTCTGAGATGACCTGAAAGTATTGTAGCAAAGTTACATCTACAGCTGATGCACTGGGAAGAGCAATGGATAAGAATATGAAAGAAGAAAAAGTAGGAAATAATGGAGCATATGCTAGTTTGGTAATGATTACCTTACTAACAGCTGATCTCAAGCTTAAATTTATCACAAGCAAGACAGAGGAGACTTTTCAAATCCTTGGGACAATACTGAAGTGATACCCACATGCAAAACTAGATTATTCAAGGGTACTGCAGCTATAGAAATTAGCTAATGTTATAGGGCAGGGGGAAGGGCAATATATGAGGATTGCAAAATAATGATGCCCCATAAAACCCTCAAGGAAGAACTGCTGCAAAGGTTCAAACAGAACAGATGGACGGGGTCAGAGCAAAATGTTAAAATAAAACAGGCATGTGAGGTCATGTATTGTCCCAAAATAAACTCAGGACATTGTACAGATGGAAGCACATTGCACATCTGGTAAGAAAAATAGGCCAAGTCCTAAACAGAGACAGACTTTACCCAGTGTGTTAGGAACTAAACCAAGTCTGCACCAGAAAAGAGCTACTGGTTACGGACTATTGTACCGTACATAACGTTAGCAGTGAGACTCTGACTAAAGCACGTCCACACACTGGACATTTTAGCACGAATGAGCCAGTTTGTTAGTGCCAAAATGTAGACAATTTGCAATATAATAAGATTTTATCTATACAGCCTAGAATCCAAATTACCCATTGTTGAAAGGATCTGTGCAAACTGTTCAGAATACAACAAAGGGAGAATGACTGTGGGGACAATGTGTACCAGAACCAATAGCTTACTGCACTGACCCAGCAGTGAATGGGCGAACATCTGCCTCACTACTTAGCAAGATTAGCTTTCTCAGATATCAAGGATTATTTTGGGGGGTAGCTACTACCAACATTTTGCTCTGATTTTGCAAAGGAAAATAGCCATTAGTTTTCAAGAACGCTATAGTAATAAATAATACATCTGATCAGAGTAACAGACAGGTGAGCCCTTGCTGTTCTGTATTCCCTGGAGTATGGGAATTTGGGTTGGTCCCTAAGGCTGCTTATCAAATGTGGCTCCCAATCATATTTATGCAATGCTGGAATTTAGTTGCTATAACCTGGTGGTCAATTTGCATACCTCATGTTGCAACTCTATTATGGATTTAGGATTGTATCAGGGCTCATGCGAGCTACACCAGCATAACAAAATTTAACCTCAGCAGACCTTAGGAGTTTGAGACTATTTAAAAAAAGGATACGTATAGAGATAAAAAAGAAACTTCTGAATTTATATATCAGTCTGTATTAAAATGACCATTTTTCTTACACTTCTAATAATCAAAAATACAATATGGTACATAAGCAACATACTTAAGAAAAAACAAGTCCTAGGTAATTCAAGATATACTGCAGCATTTCCTGTATTTACACAAGGGCTAAATGGATTCTCATCAAAACAATACAATTAATAACAGGTCTAACCCAAATAGTATTACATTACTTGGCAAATTCCTACCACAGGATTTTGCAAGAGAAATGCCTATGAGGTGGCATTACTATGTGCTCTCCTCTTAAATGTTTCTATCACATGGTCTGTCGTCTTCAGCTTTTCGGGGAATGATTTTGTTTTGGGTCCAGGCTGCGAGACAGAGAGAGATTAAAAAATTGTTCTTATTTGGGACAACTTAAAGCTTGTAGATTGCAATGTAAACCTGAACTTTCCTATCTTTCTCATGCTCATGTGTTCATCACATCAATATTATGCAATAAATGCAGATTTAAACCAAAGGGTAAACTTGCTAGTGTAGATTGCCAACATGCAGTAGCAGTAACACCACACGGAGGGAGGTGCAGTGGTGCAAATGGTTGTCTATGATGCCTGCACCAAGTTGTGTAGCACACAAGATGGAAGGCCAGGATGAGGCCTGGTTCCGTGTATGGAAGCTGCTGCATATCCAGCACTTAAGAAAAATCAGGCCACTTATGATACCTAAATCTGAATCTCAGCACCCATTTTTTAATGATTCAGTTTAATCCTCGTAACAATGAGCTACTGATAGAGCTGGGTTAAACCACAGAATCATAGAAATGTGGGGCTGGAAGGGACCTCAAGAAGTCATCAAGTCCAGCTCCCTATGCTGTGGCAGGATCACGTAAACCTACACCAGCCCTGACAGGTGTCTGTCCAACTTCTTAAAAACCTCCAATGATGGGGACTCCACAACCTCTCTTAGAAGCCTATTCCAGAGCTTAATTTAATTTCCCCCCTAATATCTAACCTAAACCCCCTGGCTGCCAATTAAGCCCACTACTTCTTGTCCTACCTTCAGTAGATACAGAGAACAATTGATCACCATCTGTTTCACAACAGCCCTTAACATACTTAAAGACTGTTATCAGGTCCCCCCCTCAGTCTTCTTTTCTCAAGACTAAACATGCCTGCTTTTTTAATCGTCCCTCAAAGGTTGGGTTTTCTACATCTTTTATCATTTTTATTGCTCTCCTCTGGACTCTCTCCAGTTTGTCCACATCTTTCCTTAAGTGTGACACAGAATTGGACACAGTGCTCCAAAGCGTCACCAGTGCCGAACAGAGAGGGACAACTACCTTCCGTGCCTTACACACGACACTCCTCGCACAGCCTCATATAGCATTGCCAATGCACTTTAATCCTAATGAGCTGTACTCCTGTTTATTGCAGTGATGAAACTGTTTGTAGGAGAATGCCAGTCCCACTGCATTCTGCTAACTTGTCTGATGATTTGGTGACTTGCATAAATGCAGATTAGACCAAAGTCTGAAGGGCCCGGCCACTGGGGCACTGCTTTATAAGATGATACTTGTGATTGTGCAGAGCCAAAGGAAGTAGGACAAAGGGAGGTGAAGTATTTTAGAAATATTCCCTTCACTGTTATCACCACTTCCTTTTCATGAACAGACTGCATGTGACCTCCAAGTAGAATCCCTTTCCCTGTTTCTTGCCCCTCTGAGTAAGCTCTGTTCTTTTAGGTCCTGGTTTCCCTTCCAGTTGCATTTGGTCTGAAAATTAGTACACGCAACTGCAAGTTCTTTTCTCTGGAGTGTGACTAAGACTGGAGGTTAGGACAATCCCTGCATCACTCATCACCTCTCCTTATCCGACCAGTGACACTATGCCAATTTTTCATCATTAATACTGTAATTACTAATCTTATACTTCTCTCCCTTGGTGGTACTGTTTAAACCCTCTTGAACTCCTAGTGCCTTACGTCTGCTGCCTCTCTCCTGTCAGCTCTCATTGTCATTTCCACAAGGAAGTTAATCAGATTTGTTATGCGTGACCTACCCTTTATAATCCTTACTAACTGATCTAGGGAATCTGGTGCTGGATCCTGCTTTTTTAAGCATCTGCTTGTTAATACAAATAAAATGTACTAGTTTCCTTCCCCCACAGGAGAATGTCAGATATTATTTGTGAAACACCGCAAGTGTACATGGAGCTTTATGGTAACTAAGCAGCGATCAACAAGTCACAAAGAAATTATCTCGTTTCATCTGTGTGGACTGCCTAGTGAATATTAGGGATTTAAGTGAGCTGTGTGGGGTAGGTGGGTGTAGATCTGTAAAGAAGATTACCAATTACTGGTTCATAACCCTACCTTGGGATTCCCTCCGTATATCCTTGTGCCTGGGAGAACTAAAACCAGTGCTCCACGGTGAAAGGATGGTGAGTGTGAGGATGCTGTCTGTGACAACAAATTCAGAGGATTGCCAATCCCAAGCATTCAAAAATCATGAGTCAGGCCCCCCATATTGAGGCAACTGGTTTAAAAAATCATGAGAGTTGAAAAATAATACATTTTGGGTTCTTTTTATTCTTTTGCCTTCTGGATTTTGAGCCTCTGGGGATCACGTTTTCAGGCTTTTCTCTGCAACTATGAGGGCCAGAGATTTACTTTTTTTAAAAATGAATGCTGAGGGTCTCAGGTAATCATATGACTCCAGGAGATGGATCTTTAAAACGAATTCCAAATATACTGAAAAATTCTAAAGCACCACTTTACTAGAGTGAGCCCCCTGTGTGGTGTATCAAGACCATATTATTTCCTCCTGGTAAAAAGTAAAATGTAATAACTTGTGTTTACACATGCTTAAAGCAAATGGTGTGGTCACATCCGTAATAGAAAGACCACTGGGCCCTTCTGGACTAGGTATTTTCATAAGCAAATAACAGATGCTGCACAATTCTGTTTCAGATAGAGATATAGGGACCTTTAGATTCCATAAACAGCGTGTGATTTACAAAAAAGACCTCTCAGCTGCAGAGAAGGTAAATCGTGACTTCAAGAATGTCTTCCCCTATAGACGTAGAGAGTAAAATTTTCAAAAGGGTCTAAGCAAAATAAATCTCATTCGACTTTTAGAGGGACTAAGGCACTTTTGAAAATTTTACCCAGGTTCTATAAAAGGAGATTTACAATTAATGGGTTAATTAGGCATAGAATGCATTAGACAGAGCATAGGTTAATTAAGGTGATTGTCTTAGGCTGACCAAGTGGTTAAGAGAACCATAACTTTACGCAGTATGATGGGGGGGCTTACTGCAAGAATCTACAGTTCACTAACTCATTATGTAATCAGAAAAAGGCATGCACAGTCCAGACATCCAAGTGTAGGGAGAGGATGACTGTGCACTGGTTCTATGCTGCAGCTTTGAAATGTACAACGTCTTTCAAGGTTCTCTAGGTAGAGCTTGCAGAAATTTCAAATTCTGTACCTGTTGATGTTTGTAGTGCCTTGCACATACATATTATAATAGGCAACTAAGGAATGAAGAGGCCAGAGTTCCCCTGAGGAGTTCAGGATGTGCATACACTAAGAGCTTGAGCGCCTCTATGGAATTATAGTCATTTCACTTATGTTCCAAATTTGGCCCTTTTTAATTCAATACATGGCGCCCCTCCCAGTTTCCCCTGTGTTGTCATCTGCTCCCCAGGCTCCTGCTGTATGTGCTTCCTCCCCTCCACAGTTCCTTGCTGCTTCCCTCCTGCTGTTCATTCAGTTGCAACACTGGCTTTCCCCTACTTCACTGTGCTCTGTTGGTTGGAACAGGGGACTGGAAATCAGGAGAGCTGGGTTCTGTTTCTGCCTCTGGCTGGCTATGTGATCTTGAATGAGTTGCTTAACTTCTCCGTACCTCAGTTTCCCAGTCTGTATAATGGGGTTTCTGCTTTGAGTTCTTTGGATCAATGCCATTAATATTACTACTACCTTACTGACAGCTCTTCATTCATATTGCTGGGCCAGTTCCATCTCTTCATTCATGGATGTTATGACACACAAATGAATTATTATTAGCTGTACTGAAGTCCATACCTTATAAGTTAGGCAAAATGATTACACTGATCCTGCTACTATGAGCAAGTGTTCAGACATATTCATACCTTGCTGGCTCTGTCTTTTTGTGAACAGGTACAACATGGTGACAACTTTTCACTTCTCTTCTCCAGTTCCTCTAAATGGCTCTGGGTGAAAATACCAGTAAAATGACATCCAATTGCAAATCTTGCCTTGGACGTCCTATCAAAAATTTAGCTGAGACACATCAGAACTAAATATGACTCCAAATTTGATAAGATCAACAAAGCAGACTTAGTTACTCACATTCCCCAAAGCCCACATCAAGCTGTAATGAAAAAAGCAGCTAACTGCTGACAATTATTGTTTAATCTCAATACTTCCTTCAAATATGAATTGTCTTTTCTTGTATCAATGTGCAATTCACATTGCTAAGGGACATTTTGATGAAGACCCAAAGCATCAACTAAATATGACAGTCAGGATAAAACCACTTAGCATATGCCCTTTTGGGGCTACAAAGCACTCTCCAAGCTCATGACACTACACAGCTACATTAGAGAAATCAAGGAAAAAATAGCAAGTGTGCTACTATTTTTGTCCTAAATCTCAGCTAGTTCTATTCTTGGTTACATATTAACGTGATAGGCTCCTTGGGATCTGCTGAACCCTGTGCAAAGATAGACACACAGAGGCCCTTCCAGCTTACTACACGTTTGTGATTAGCTCCCCTCCCTCCTCCACATACCCAAGTCAAAACTTGGAGGGTCTTGTTCTGTGGTGTTTGGATTGCAGGGTGACGTCTCCATGTTAACCCTGCAGCTATCTCTATCATCTTTCATCGGTGCCTGCCACAGCAAGGATGTTTCCAAGCAGCACCTACCAAAATTCAGCCCCCTAAATCATTAGGTTACTGTCCAACACACAGCTGGAGAAGAGGATGTTTAGTTACCAGGTTCATGGAAGCACTGCCATGACGTTTGTCCCTAGACCGTTACCTTATGCAGTTTAACAGCTCTGTTCAATCTTTTCTCCTGATTCAGCTGGAACTGTGTCCTCTCTAGAGCCTCTTTTAGCAGAGCATTCTCTTCTGCTTCTCTATAGACTTCATCTTCCAGTTTAGTCATCTCGGCCTGGTACGCTTGCAAAGATACCTTATTCGCCCTGTACAAAACAGAAGAGATAAAGTCCTTTGGGCTTTATTCTCATCTACACTACAGCCTCCTGATACATCTCTGGCAGTGTAAGGGGCCCTAAAAAGAGAGGGTAAATTACATGTACACCCACTTTAAGGCTCCTTTACACTACCAGAGGCATGGAAAAGGCCTTAGTGTAAATGAGAAACAGGCCCCCTGTTTTTTCCTGTGAAATGCTGAAAATATTTTAACAAGGACTTCCTAAAAAAATTTCTCCTCAGTCCACGATAAACGCCTCTCTTTGGGGTGCATGTCTCTGCTGAAAGGAATGGCTAGGGATGGGGAATCTACTCATCCTATTGAAATAAAAATGATTTCTCATAACCACAACCAAGCAAGGAGGTAGCATCATTCCACAGACAACATACTGAGGTTGTTTGCTAGGAATGTTTATACTTGATTTCTGCAAAGTACATGGAGTGTGAGGATAGCACAGCACATCATTCGGTGTGCATGATTGTGAACACTAGGTGAAGACTCAAGAGGGGCTGCTGGGAGTTCTGTCCTTAGGAATTATGTTGAAAATACCTGCACATTTGGGGCAATTTTGTACATTTCAAAGTAAAAAAAAATTCCTTCAAAAAGCATTTTTATGTGTTCTGGGGATAGCTAGTTCTGTTAGGGAGACTTTACTATCCACAGGGATGGGGATTTCTTCATAGGCAGGGAAATAACCCCAACCTTTCCTTCAATTTCGGGGTGGAATTTTAACCAGAGATTCCAGGGAATCTCATCCAACACTCCACTGTTCTTTTTGGCTTCATTTTCCAAATTGTTTAGACATTTTTCTTGTACGAGACAAACACCACATGTGATGCATATGATTAAGCAGAATAACACTGCATCACTTGCCATGGATTCTTCAAAGAATCATATAAATAATTAAAGACTGTATAATTATTATATCTGTTACTAATAATAAATCTCGAACAGGAAAAAACAGACCAGAGTAATGTTGCTGCAGAATAAAAGAAGCAGCCGCCCCTCTGCTCATACTACAAACCTTTAGATATCATTTTCATCTGCAGGATCCTATTTTCAAATGTGAGTTTCTATGGGACGTAGTTAAGTGACCAGCCCTAAACTTGGATTTCAAATGGGCACTCAGATGCTTAAAATGAATGAATGAATGCCTAAGTGCTGATATAGGGGCTCAGAATTTGGATGTCCTATTAAAATATCCATTTCTGAAAACTGGGCATACAGTTTCCATACATAGCTTGTAATGGACAATCCTAACAACACATAGGTATTTAATACAATAATAGACATTGTGCCATCTGGTATGGTTAGGTTTTAAATAGAATTCCTAATGTATTTCATTGGTTAGCTTGATGTGGCCTTAGAAGATACCATTTTAGAGAGCTATGAAGTTCAAAGAGGGCATTTCCTAGCTTACACCAGCTTTATTTCCATGCAATAACATAGTGAATGTTTTTATGGACACACAAAAGGATACCGTAATTAAAGCTGAATTGTAAATATGCTCCTTTCGCTAAATTTCTCACAAATTTTTGTCCCAGTTTTGGGACTTTTTGCTAAAACAGCTGGATCCACTCTCATGGCTCTTAGCAAATAGTAAATAAGTGTGTTTTCTCTACCTGAGTTGTCCAATGTCTGACTCATACTCTTTCAGTAGTTTTTCTTTCCTTTCTAGCCGACTCTTGAGTTTACTGATCTTATCGTACAGCAGCTCAAGGTCCTTCTGTCGTTGCATTCTCACTTTTTCCCTCTCATCCTGAGAAAGATGCTTAACAGACTGCACTCCTGTCAGCTCCTTCACATTCATCAGACTTCCAAGAGCATGAATTAAGTTGAGGTACTGTATGAAGAGGAGAGAATGAATTATTTACTAGGTGTGCTGACTCCTAATTAGAAAAATCTCACACTGCTCAACCCATCTGCTTTCATTCTGTTTTAGTGTAAAGGATTCAAAGGTAGTAAATAAACTATTGTGTGCTAGCCTCTTCATTTAAATTTAACCTATTTTTTTCCTTAGCCTCTTTATGTGTTCCTAAGGAATCAAGCAGAACAATAATGTACCAAATATGTAAATTCATTCATAATGTATTAGACAAATTAATTTGACTATGAAGCAGTTAGGTGCAGAACTGGATCAGCATCCAATGGTTCTTAAGTCACTATTTGTTGGGTTAAGTATCAGAGGGGTAGCCGTGTTAGTCTGGATCTGTAAAAAGCGATGTAATGGAGGCATAAGGACTCGAAACTAACTAGACCTTGGAGGTCAGTGTTGTTTCCAGGAAGTAGAAACCAGGATGAAATGTCGCTGTTGGGTTTAAAATAGGGAGATTTGATTTACAGTTATTTGGTGATGATCAGCACATTTTAAAAAAGGGGAGATAAATAACACACAGTAATTGGGACATAAATAGAAACAAGATGAGTCAGCACACTGACTGTGTCCTTGGGCAATGGTTCTCAGCAGTGGCTCACAAACTGTGGGGAAGCAGAGAGCTGTCACTCAGATAACCTCTGCTGAAGTGGAAAGCGTGGGGTGAAGCATTCAGATGATGGGCAGGCTATAAAGGCCTAGACTGATATAGCCTAGACCAGAGGTCGGCAACCTTTCAGAAGTGGTGTGCCGAGTCTTCATTTATTCACTCTAATTTAAGGTTTCGCGTGCCAGTCATACATTTTAACGTTTTTAGAAGGTTTCTTTCTATAAGTCTATAATATATAACTAAACTATTGTTGTATGGAAAGTAAATAAGGTTTTTAAAATGTTTAAGAAGCTTCATTTAAAATTAAATTAAAATGCAGAGCTCCCCGGACTGGTGGCCAGGACCTGGGCAGTGTGAGTGCCACTGAAAATCAGCTCGCGTGCCGCCTTTGGCACGCGTGCCATAGGTTGCCTACCCCTGGCCTAGACTGATCTTCCACCTCAACACAGCATGGGTGTTGAACCAGTTGTTTTACTGGATTTTTGGTTCGGTCTTCCACTTCCAGTCACTCAGAGGGATACCCAACCATATATTCGCATACGGAACACTCAGTCCTCTATGTCTCCTGAAGTTTAGAGGCTTCTCTATGTACACAGCCCTTCTTATATCATGCACCACAGGTGCAACAGCCTTGGTAATGTTTGACTGAAACACCCTGCCCTGTTAGTAAATCTTGATTCTGAGGGGAAAGTATTTAGTGTGTTTTGCTGACTCACTAATGCTCGTGGCTCATAATCCCATTCTGCACAAGGCAGGCAGCAGTAGAGATGGAAGAGCAGTTCGGAGGTAGGAATGCTAGGAGCAGCTAAGCTTGGGGTAAAGGCTTGAACTAAACATTGCTAAATTTGCCAGATCTCAGAAAGGGGCTGAGTATTTGGCTTTACATAGTGTGTGTGGTCTGTGTTTTAGAGAAGGTTAAGGATGGCACTTGCTCCCAACTCATTAAAATACATTTTAAAAATCCCTATGTCTCAGGCTATTTATTCCTACATATCCTCTCTTCTTTTAAGGCAAAGCACACTCCAGCCCATATCCACTGCAGTAAACTGTCATGCCATTGAAGTGGCCCATTAGCTGGAGGGCAGTCTGGCTCCATAAATCATTTGGGCTTTATTTTAATGCCATACTAAGGAGACATTCAAAGATCTAAGGTCTTTTAAGGGAACATTTTTTTGGAGGTTAAAATCGAAGGGAAAAGAAACACATGCCATTGGGAGCTGCTCGGTCTGTATATTTCCCAGGCAGCTAACAGAGGTTTTGAAGTTCCTGCAGATATGAATTCATACTCTAAGAAATACATGAGATTCCCAGGGTACTTGGAAGCTGATCACTAAATTCATAAACTGATTTTAACAGGACCCACAATATACAGTTCCCGAATGTGATTGTACCTTGTCTTTTATTTACATACCATCTTCTCGCTGAGGTCTAAAGCATCAGACATTTCCAACTTTGCTGTCCTCTCTAAGGCGACATTTGAATATGTGTTGGGAAAATGGCTTGGAAGCTGAAATAGATAGAGTAATGGATCTCCTTACTACTTGCAGACCAAATCCTGTTCTCCCTCCCACAGAAAACAAACTAACAAAACAACCGCAAGAACCCAAAGCTGTGGTGAAAAAATACCCACCAATGTCAAAGGGTGTCATTTCTGGCTGCCAGAAGGCCTATTATGTTGTTGTGCAAAGTACACTAAATGACATGTTAAACACACCTGATTTCTGGTTGACCATGCCTCTTTCTTCTCTGATCCACCCTCAAAGGGGCACCACCTCCACATGAGGCTTTCTACTGGCTTTTAATTAGGGTCCCCCTCTTGCTCAGTGCCCAGTGATTGTTGGGTTTTGATGATCTTGTATGTGTGCTGTTCATTTTTTCCTGCTATCAGACTCTTCTCTTTAGCTAGAGCTTGCCCATACTACCATTGACTCTTTAAGGCAGAAAATGATTAAAAAAACTATAATGTGCGCATCAAAACATTCACGTCAATTTAAACGCCACTTGATTCCACCAATTGGCTTCCTTGGTTTTTTACACTCATTCACACTATCAGGGGAGTTCCTTTATTGTTCTCTGTATACATTTTGTTGCCTTTTTGCATGGTTCAAAGCCTAAAGGCAGATAGTAAGATGGACCCACAGAGGACGTAGGGGCAGTGGGGCCAGATCCTCTGCTGGTGTAAATCAGCACTATTCTATTGAAGTGAACAATATTGAGAACTGGGTGTCCGAATCTTCTATGCAGCTTTGAAAATCTCAGCTTAAAAGTGTTAACTCAACATTCATTGTGTAAGGCTGAGTTAAAGGCGAGAGATATTGGAAACGTTCTATATAGATATAGTTACAGGAAGTCACTTTTTGTGAAGACAGATGACTTCAAGAACTGTACTAAAAAGTCAAAGATATTAAGGTATATTTTTCTGTAGGTTTTCTTATTGCACCTTAAAAATGTTCCTATGTATTCTAATGAAACCACAGCTAAAATAATATATAAAATTCTGTTTACCTTGGCCTCCATTTTTTTTATTGATGATGGCACACGTTCCTTTTCTAAGCCTATTTTCTGAGCTATTTTCTCAGATAGGTCTTTCTTTAGCACTATAAGTGGCTCAGGAACCTTCTCTTTAATAGCTAAGGGAACAAGAAAACCCCCCATGCAGAGTTGTTACATTGTCACATGTAAGCTGTAATGGGTTTACTAAAAGCACACTGTTTTAATAATAGTTCTCAAAATTTCCTAAAGAAATTTTCCTGTAAAAATATAAATATAAAATGGGTAACACATGGAATGTTTTTCTCATAAAATCAGGAACATAACTCACAATAAATCTAGTAATCAGACACTGTACTCAAGGTTTGAAATTTAGGGATTGCTCTGGAAATTACTATTCTAATCCTGGAATTTTATGGGGATTATACTTATCTTCAATATTTTTCTGAAGATGTATAAACTGTGGACAGAGAATGAGGCTACTTCTATACTTGGAGCTAGGGGTGTGATTCCCAGCTCACACAGACATACTTGCACTAGTTTTCATCTAGCTAGTGCACTACATATAATAGTGTTGCCGGGTAGCACAGCCAGCAGTGGCACAAGCTAGCTGTGCTAAGTATGTACCCAGGGGGTTCAGGCACGTTTGTACTCAGTATGGGCTAGCCACGCTGCTACTGCAGCTACACGACCATTTTTAGCATGTTAGCTCAATGAGCACTAGCGTGAGTATGTCAACGCGAGCTGGGAATCACTTTGCCCAGCTTCAAATGTAGAGAGAGAACAATTAAAAAAGTTAAATTAAAACAGGAAAGGAACCTTACAGCAAAACCACATATAACTTACTGTATTAATACTGCTCGCAGAGGCAAGTTCGTTGCTGGTATAAGCAGGCATAACTATTGACTTAAGTGGAGTTGTACCTGCTTATATCAGGAGTAGATGTGGCCCATGATATTTAGATGTCTAGTCAGACCTCTGCTCAGTATCTGAATCTTAAAATATAGTGAACAGAGCTTAAAGGGTTCTTCTTGCTGATTCATTTTGCTGACCTCTGAGCAGAATATAGCCCCTTCATACGTATATACCTACATACACTTGACTATCTCTGAATGATACACGGTATTCATCTATTATCATTTAACTATGGGCCTGGTTTTGCAGAAGTGTAAATCCATTCAACTCTATGGAGTTACACTGGTGAAAGCAAGAGCAGATTTTGGCCATATAAGGACAATGGTTGCACAATGTAGGCTAGTTGCCTTTCCTAGCTTTAAACATTCTATTGGTTTAGGCCCCACTCTTGCAAAGACTTACACGCATGCTTAACTTATTCCTAGTCTGTTGCATGGGACTACTCATGTGCTTAATGTTAAGCACGTGGGTAAGTCTTAGGAGGACTGGGGCCTTAGTCATGATATCCTATGAAAATTTAGTAATCCCGACATCACAAATTTGATTTCTTTCACTGTTGTGAAAGAGCCCAGTATCCCTTTCAGTTATATTCAACCTACACAATTACCAGGAAATGTTCTAGCAAAAGAACTGCGTGCTGTACTTACTTAAAGACTGAGTCTTTTCCAGCATCTTGATTCTGTCTCGGAGCTCAGTCAGTGCATCTTTTTGACGCTGAATTGTCTCCTCATGTCTGAGGCCTTTACATGTAGCTCCTAGGTCTGCCAAGTCCACAGTCTGCTTCTGAAATCAGAAACCCATCCACACCATCTTTGATTGTGTTACAAATTACTGTGCTCTGCACAAACGAGCACCAAGTAACTCTTGAATAACTGCCATATCATAACCTTGGTTCAAAGTAAACACATGCATGCAGGTGCTTGGGCCCTAAAATTCATCAGCTTTCCTTAAAACTATTACCCCACTTGCAGTATTTGTGATTCTGATCTCACCAGCTAGAAGTCATGTGCTAGTCATCTTAGGTGTTTTGAGAATCAAAGTCTGGTTGCTGTGGGAAAAGTAGCTCTCGCCATTGGTTTTAGAGATAAGGAATTAAAACAGGAGTAGTCAGCTGTTGGTATATGTGGTATAGGTCCCCCTCGGCATCAATCCGCAAAGGACAGGAGTTGTCCTAGCTGTAAAGCTTTGGCTCTTCAGTTCAGGCTGTTGTAGCTCTGGAGGTCTCTGGTTCAGTCCCTGCTGTGTCAGCCAAGATGGCGGCCGCCACACCTCGATGCAGCTTATTCGGCGTTGGTCTCAATGTGTCAATGGAACGTCAAGTCAGCTTTTTCAACCCCTTTCAACCGAGGTTTAAATTAAGGCACTGCTCTCTTCAATTATTTCCGTCCCTGCCTTCTCAAGAAACTGCATCTCACATTGATGTGTTTGTTGTTTTCAAAGCAATTCACTCTGTACGCCACATCTGAAGGTGATCGTATAAAATTATGCCCCTATTTGTTTTTTAAAAATCTATATAAATTATGCATTTCAGGATTCCACCCCTGTTCAGTGTCTGGCTTTACGATTAATATACACAGATGTCTAGGTAAGCATGTTAATTCAAACTGCATCCAGCTAATGATAACTGGAGGATACTATCTAGGGTCTCAATGCTTATTTTCATTGTATTATTTAAAATCAATTCATTTATAAAATGAAAAATAAGTAGTGCTGCACATATATAGCTGCAAACTTCCCCACCTCATGTGTATGCAATAAGTGGCTGGTGATAATTCTCAGTGCAACACCCAGCCACGATTCACCACTTTGGCTGTCTAAGTCAAGTCAGTTCATCTTGCATTTTGCCTATTATTACAGAGGATTTTCATAAAGATGTTAATTAAAAAACCTCTTTCTGCTATTACAACCTTTTTGAATCTGTTCGTATTTTGGACAGTAATATATACAGCATTTCAATACAAAGCAGGAAAACAGCGCGCATTTTTCCGTTTTCTTATTCACAAAAATATCCTATACTGTGCATTAGACCCTATCTGCCTACGTATCACAGGAAAGAATAGGAGTGTGCTGTGGGAGAGCTAGAGGATGGTATCTTTTTTCCAAGCTGCTTTACGCAATCTAATTGGCAATTAGAACAACACTTAGCACTTTCAACACTTCACATTTGCAAAACGGCTGTACAAACATTAGCTAAGTAATCATCACAAAATGCCTGTGCAGTACGTAAAAACTGTTATCCTGAGTTTTCAGAAGGGGAAATGAGAGAGGTTAAATATTCCAAAAGTTGCTACTGATTTTGATGAAGTGGGTTTTAGCCCACGAAAGCTTATGCCCAAATAAATTTGTTAGTCTCTAAGGTGCCACAAAGACTCCTCGTTGTTTTTGTTGATACAGACTAACACAGCTGCCATTCTGAAACTAGTGATTTTGAGTACCTCAATTTTTGAGTATCTGACCAGGGACACCTTGGGCCTGGACTTTCCCAAGTACAGAGCATTGACAACTCCCATTGAAGTTAAAAGAAGCCACTTTTGAGAATTTCAGTGTAAGCGATTTGCCCAGGGCCAACATGTCAGTGGCAGAATTGGCAGAACTGGGTAGAGAACTCAAAAGTTTCTGACTCTCAGTCCTGGGCTTAGCCCATTAGAGAATGCTGCTTGTCTATCAGAGAATGTACTTCTATGACAAAGCCAAGTAAACAAACTCTTGTTCAAGAACTTTAAAGCCACTTTACCTTAAAATCTTTTATCATTTTCCTCTTACTACTATTATGGTCAATAAAGCCATCCATCATAAATCCCACATCTACATCAACATCACATTTATTGGTATTGAGGTAGCATCCAAAGGCCCCAATCAAATTCAGCACCTTTTTGTGTTACACATTGTACAAACACATAGAAAGATACAATCCTTGCCCTGAAAAAAATGTGAACTCTAATTTAAGACGAGATGCAGAAAAAGAGGTTAAAGAATAGAAGAGGCTGGGTGGGGGAAGTGAAGGAACGACAGGGGTAGCAATAGTCAGATTATGCAATGGCCTAGGATAGTTAGGTGCAGAACATAGATAGCACGTAGCTGCGCAGTAAAATGATTACCACTACAAACATATGTATCAGGAAAGCCTGCAGGAAGGCATTAGACTCATCAAGGCAGTGAGTAACCAACCTTTTCTGTTGCTCTGGTCTGAGACTAAAAATGTGGCTCCCTGGCCCAATCCTCCTAAAGGCGGGAAGTAAATACAACCCTCTACCTCCTTCCCTCACAGCTGCCTAGAGCACCAAATCTGGCAGCGAAAATTTCAAATATATGCCAGAAAGCAATGGATCCAGCAGTCTGATTCTTATTTCACCACTGTACAGTTTTACACCACTGTAACTCCACGGACTTCAACTGGTGTACTCTGTACTTACATCAGAGAGATCAGAATCAGGAGCAGTGTCTGATTAAAGAGCAGCCCTTAATGAAACAAACATCTCAAATCCAAAGGAAAATGTGATGAAATATACATTATCTGTGGATCCTTTCTCTCTCTGGATATTGCTTCTCATAGATTGTTGACCAGGGCTTGCCCGCTCAGTTTGATTCTGTTACTGCATCAAGGACATCTTGCTCTAGGTTTTCTTTATTTAACAATTGTTTATTCTTTATTATTCAGTTTAGTCTATTGCATCCTCAGTTTCTTGGCTTGTTTTGATTTGGACTTGCCTTTTTGGTTTTGGGGACTTCATCCTTTGTGGTGTTACTGGCCTGCACATCTGTTTGTGGTAGCTTTTCAAATTCACTCTCCTTTTCTTTTGCTGCATTCTTCAGCTTTTTCAGTTTTTCTTTTGTATGCCTGTGTCAAGAGCAGAAAATATTGCTGAAGAGGATGACGGGTGAAGGTGAATAATCAGTCTGCTGAAAACAGCAACATGAATAACTATTAAAGCATACAAATACATAGAGAGGAAGAGATAACTAGCAGTGATTTAGCTACAACTCAATTTTCAATGGCTCTTCCAAATCCCTGTATAAGATTGTTTGAGATTTCTGCAGAGGAAAGTAAAAATTTACATTTTAAAATGTTTCCAAGGGAAGTAGTTATCTAAATGAAATACTAATTTGACTTATGAAGTCAGTGGTTTTCTTTGCTGGCCTGGGTAGCTCAGCCTCTGCTATTCTTTATGTTGAGGTGGCTTATACCTTAATTCTTCAGCTGAAGTTCTCAGGTCTTTATCCTTCTTGTCCACAAGGTCTGACATCTCAAATAGCTTCTCTCTAAGCACTTTGGGTATGTCTACACTACGAGAGTAGTTCGATTTTAGTTAAATCGAATATGTGCAATCGATATTAGAAAGTCGAACGTGTGTGTCTACACTAAGGACAGTAATTCGACTTTGTCAGTCCACACTACCAGGGAAAGCGTCGACATTGGAAGCAGTGCACTGTGGGCAGCTATCCCACAGTTCCCGCAGTCCCCGCTGCCCAGTGGAATTCTGGGTCGAGCCCCCAATGGCTTCTGGGTAAAAAATTGTGGCGAGGGTGCTTTTGGGTAACTGTCGTCATCCGTCAGTCACTACCGCCCTGCCTCCCTCCCTGAAAGCGCCGGCGGGAAATCAGTTCGCGCACTTTTTGATCAGTGACAGCGCGGACGCCACAGCACTGCGATCATGGATCCCGCTGCGACCATCGCTGCAGTTGTGGCCGTTCTCAACGCCTCGCACCTTATCATACACCTTTCCCAGAGGCAGATGCAGAGAAATCAGGCGAGGAGGCTACGGCAGCGGAGTGAGGGCCTGAAGTCGGAGAGTAGCACAGAGCTGTCAGAAACCACGACACCCAGCGCCGAGGACATCACGTTTGCAATGGGGCATGTGGATTTTGTTGAACGGCGATTCTGGGCCCGGGAAACAAGCACGGACTGGTGGGACCGCATAGTGCTTCAGGTCTGGGATGAATCCCAGTGGCTGCGAAACTTTCGCATGCGGAAGGGGACTTTCCTGGAACTTTGTGAGTTGCTGTCCCCTGCCCTGAAGCGCAAGGACACCCGCATGCGAGCAGCCCTGACTGTCCAGAAGCGAGTGGCCATAGCCCTCTGGAAGCTTGCAACGCCGGACAGCTACCGGTCAGTCGCGAACCACTTTGGCGTGGGCAAATCTACCGTGGGGGTTGTTGTCATGCAAGTAGCCAAGGCAATCGTCAAGGTACTGCTGTCAAAGGTAGTGACCCTGGGAAACGCGCAGGCCATCATAGATGGCTTCGCTGCGATGGGATTCCCAAACTGCGGTGGGGCTATAGATGGGACTCACATCCCTATCCTGGGACCGGGCCACCAGGCCAGCCAGTACATCAATAGAAAGGGCTACTTTTCAATGGTGCTGCAAGCACTGGTGGACCATCGGGGACGGTTTACAAACATCTACGTCGGATGGCCGGGCAAGGTTCATGACGCTCGCGTGTTCAGGAACTCTGGTCTGTTTAGACGGCTGCAGGAAGGTATTTACTTCCCGGACCACAAGATAACTGTTGGGGATGTGGAGATGCCTACAGTGATCCTCGGGGACCCAGCCTACCCGCTAATGCCCTGGCTCATGAAGCCCTATACTGGCGCCCTGGACACAGAAAAAGAACTGTTCAACTACCGGCTGAGCAAGTGCAGAATGGTAGTGGAGTGTGCTTTTGGCCGTCTCAAGGGGAGATGGAGAAGCTTACTCACTCGCTGTGATCTCAGCGAAACCAATATCCCCATCGTTATTGCAGCTTGCTGTGTGCTCCACAATCTGTGTGAGAGCAAGGGGGAGACCTTTATGGCGGGGTGGGAGGTTGAGGCAAATAGCCTGGCTGCTGATTACGCCCAGCCAGACAGCCGGGCGATTAGAAGAGCCCAGCGGGACGCGCTGTGCATCCGGGAGGCTTTGAAAGCCAGTTTCAAGGCTGAGCAGGGTACCCATTGACTTTTAAGTTTGTGGACACAGAAGCTGAACTTGCCCCCGTTTCTTTACCCAGTTGCCGTCGACTATCCTCTCCAATTACATACCCCCTTCACCCCCTTCCCAAAAAATAAAATCTGTTCTGTTTTGTTCATGGACACCGTTGTCTTTATTACTGTTTTCACGGGAATGTTTTAAACCTGGGACGCAGACTGTGGCGGGGAGCGGGTTTAGGGTTGTGATGCAAATGATGCTTCTAAACTCCAGGAATGACAGGCTCCGCGATGGTGGACTGGTTGTTTCAACGGAGCCTGCCAGCCCTCCTGGCCGGGACTGCGTGTATGTGTCGGCTATGTGACTGTCTTGCAGGGGGAGGAGGGTTACAGATCCCCTGCTGCGCGGCTCTGTGATCCAGGGTAAGGACCGCTGCATAAGATCTGTAACTGCCCTCCCCCGCCACCAAGTCACAGAGCAACACCACCGCCCCCACCACACAGAACATGAAAACCACCTCCCAGACTGACCAGGATAACTAGTCACTGCACTGTATATGTGCCCTGCTGCTGCACCTGCCCCCTGCTAAAGGTGACTGTCCTGTCCAATGACCAAGGCCCTTCCCCCCCCTCCAGACAGACTCCCCTCCAAAAGAAGAGGATGGAAACAGAAATGAACAGAAACGTATTCTTTATTAACAACCGCACATGGAACGGGGGGGTGAAACTTGGACGGGGTCTTGTGTGAGGCGGGTAGGAAAGGACTTTTCAAATTTTGGGGAATGAGAGCCTTCTAGTGGTAGAGCAGTCCGCAGGGGTGGAGTGAAATTTTTCACGGCCCCTTCCACCCCTCCGTGTTTGGACTTTGGGTGAGGGGGGTATGGGACTTGGTGGCGGGGCAGGGCAGTTACAGAGAGACTGCAGCGGGGCTCTCTCCTCCTGCCTCCGGTCCTGCAGAACATCCACAAGGCGGCGGAGCGTGTCCGTTTGCTCCCTCATTAGTCCAAGCAGCGTTTGAGTAGCCTGCCTGTCCTCCTGTCGCCACCTCTCCTCCCGTTCAATGTTTGCCCGGTGCATTTGGGACAAGTTCTCCCTCCACTGTGTCTGCTGGGCTGCCTGTGCTCGGGAGCATGCCATTAGTTCAGCAAACATGTCTTCCCGTGTCCTCTTCTTCCTCCTCCTAATGTGCGCTAGCCTCTGGGCAGATGTGGCTGTGGGAATTGGAAAAAGGGAGTGAATTCCTGAGACAGAGCAATGTATCTGTGAACAGAGAACATAGTCTTTCTCTGTGAACAAGACCATGCAGAGCACCTATCACACGCGCACTGAGGACAAGGTCGAATTTTCGGCCCTCGCCTACAGTGCCTGCGGTCTTGCTGTGGCGAGCTGAGGAGCAGGGCAGGACACCGGACTTTGTCTAGATGGCAAACATGGTAAGCCGTAGACTTGTGGCCGCTTAAAACTTTAAGAGTGGCACTGGCCTCCTTTCACATAGAAAGCAATGCGAGTCTCTGCTGGCAGCAATCCTGCAAGCATGAACTCTGGCCCTGTCCCAGCCCCTCGCGGCTGTAAACCGCGTGGCTGTAAACCGGCGGTTGCAGTTCTGTAAAGGGACGGGCAAGCAGTCCCAATACTAACTTTCCCCTACCTAATTCACAGCAGGGAGTCATGCCTGACATCACCCTCCTGAAGGTCTCCGAGAGCCAGAAGGAGAAGATGCTCCGGGACAGCCTGCAGAAACCGGGGCCATTTGCTGCACTGCTGTGCAAGGCCATGATCCCGGAGTACCTGCTGGCGTTGTGGCAGGGAAACGTGTCCTACCACGGGGGGCCTAATAAGCTGTCCCTGCCCAGGAACCTGCTGATGAGGCTTGAAAAACACCTGCAGGAGGTGTATGAGGAGTTCTCCCCGGAGGATGTCGCCTCGATCCCCGGTTACATTGACCAGTTCTTGGCTTAGGTGCCCTTGGAGGGACAAATGACTGCAGGGTTTTGGGCACTATAATCATGAAGCGGACATTGTGAGATTTTTTTAAAATGGTTCGGACTATATATTGAGGCGCCCAAAGACGGAGTAATCATGATACACTTTGCACTGATTCCCCTTTTGTTTGACTTTCCTGTTTACATGTTTTTAAGCACTTTACCCACTGTTAATATTTTCAATCTTCCTGTTTTGTTGCAAATAAATGTTTACATGTTTTAAAGCACTTTAGCTACTGTTAATATTTTAAATATGCCAGTTATGTTGTAAATAAATGTTTGGATATTTAAAACACTTACTGCTTGATCCTTCCCCTGAATCTGTGTCTGGGGTAACGGCTGGGGAGGGTTGGTAGGGGATCTCTGTCAGGGTGATGAAGAGCTCCTGGCTGTCGGGCAAATCAGCGTTGTAAGCGCTGTCTACTGCCTCGTCCTCCTCATCTCCTTCCTCCTCTTCCCCGTCCGCTGAGGAACCGGCCGCGGACAATATCCCATCCTCAGAGTCCACGGTCAGGGGTGGGGTAGTGGTGGCGGCCGCACCTAGGATGGAATGCAGTGCCTCGTAGAAACGGGATGTGTGAGGCTGGGATCCGGAGCGTCCGTTTGCCTCTTTGGTCTTCTGGTAGCCTTGTCTCAGCTCCTTGATTTTCACGCGGCACTGCGTTGCATCCCGGCTGTAGCCTCTCTCTGCCATGGCTTTAGAGATCTTCTCATAGATCTTTGCATTCCGTCTTTTGGAGCGCAGCTCGGAAAGCACGGACTCATCTCCCCACACAGCGATGAGATCCAAGACTTCCCGATCCGTCCATGCTGGGGCCCTCTTTCTATTGGATTGCACGGCCATCTCTGCTGGAGAGCTCTGCATCGTTGCCACTGCTGCCACTGCTGCTGAGCTCGCCACGGTGTCCAAACAGAAACTGCGCTTCAAACTGCCCAGACAGGAAAAGGAATTCAAATTTTCCCGGGGTGTGGCTGGTCAGAGCATCCGAGCTCGGACTGCTGTCCAGAGCGTCAACAGAGTGGTGCACTGTGGGATAGCTCCCGGAGCTATTACCGTCGATTTCCATCCACACCTAGCCTAATTCGATATGGCCATTTCGAATTTAGCGCTACTCCTCTCGTTGTGGAGGATTACAGAAATCGATTTAAGGAGGGCTCTATGTCGAACTAAATGGCTTCGTGGTGTGGACGGGTGCAGGGTTAATTCGATATAACGGCGCTAAATTCGACATAAAAGCCTAGTGTAGACCAGGCCTTTCAGTTCACTCTCTTGGCTTCTAACAAGAATTAGGTTCCGCTCCAGTTCCATCTTTTGTTTCTCACTGAGTTCTCCTGCATGGAGAGAGGTTTCAGTGGTTACTGGCTACCTTAGTGCCTGATGCTAGGTGCCTTCAACTCTATTAGGATCAGGGTCTTGGAGAATGCTTCTCTTCCCCATACAACATCACGATGGCTGAAATCAATGAAGGTGCTTTTTCCGACAGTCCATAGCTGTGTACACCCAAGGACCTCCGATACAGAGTTCATTCACTCTGGCAGTCCATTAGAGCTTGAGTTTTCTGCCCCTCAGAACCCAGAGCAAGGCATATCTTTTCACTTCAGCAGTTGTGTCTATATCATTGCTAGTGCAGTTTTTCTTCTGGGTTGGAAAAGTACTGAGATGAGATAGGTTGTATTGTTTATTGTAGACAATTTAAATTACTATCCTGTTTGTAATGTAGATATGTGCACCCATATTCCATGGCTACCAGCACGCTAAATCATAGAAATCATAGAATATCAGGGTTAGAAGGGACCTCAGGAGGTCATCTAGTCCAACCCCCTGCTCAAAGCAGGACCAATCCCCAGACAGATTTTTTACCCCAGTTCCCTCAATGGCCCCCCTCAAGGATTGAACTCACAACCCTGGGTTTAGCAGGCCAATGCTCAAACCACTGAGCTATCCCTCCCCCCTAAAATTCTCTTATCTGTTTTGCTGTTTTCTTTTACAAGCTGTGGATATTTTTTATTATTATTATTAATGGAGATATCCCATCTCCTAGAACTGGAAGGGACCTTGAAAGGTCATCGAGTCCAGCCCCCTGCCTTCACTAGCAGGACCAAGTACTGATTTTGCCCCAGATCCCTAAGTGGCCCCCTCAAGGATTGAACTCACAACCTTGGCTTTAGCAGGCCAATGCTCAGACCACTGAGCTATCCCTCACCCCAGATACACACAATTCTAGTTTTAAAACTATTTTGTCAGACTCTATTCCACAATATTCCTTCCTTCCTATGCAGAATACAATATTTAAGCCCCTAAAGATAAAGCATTTAAGAATTCTGGCCAAACTTTCAAAAGTATCTAGTGATTTTGGATACCCAACTTGAGACATCTTAAGGGGGCCTGACTTTCATAAGATGGATGCTGAGCACTTTCTGAAAACCAGACAATTTTGCTTTTGCCTAAACCTCAATATAAATATTTCAGTGAGAAAATAATATCCATTTTCACTTTCTTGTTTCTCCTTCCATTAACACCTATTATCTAAGTACGTTTTGGGGGAAGTCATGGTAGTATTGTAAATCACATGATACATTTCACAAACCTATCATATCCGACATTCTGGCTTTGGCTTCTGAGAGGTCTTTCTTTAATCCCAAAATGATAGCCTGTTTGGACTGGATTTCCTTCCGAGCAGCTGCTAATTCTCCTCTGAAATTCATGAGGCAGATAATTGCAAAACCCAATGTCATTTGAAAGATTAATATTACTTAAAGTGTACATGTCATATAGGGTAAGATCATATAAGTAATACACACACATTATTTTAAAAATATGATTTTAAATCCCCTAAATCCAGGCACGTAGAGTTAGGTATTACTGTCTTTCTCACTTCTTAATTCAAGCCAACATGCCTAGATGTTACAGAATGGATGACAGATAAACTGACGTGGTATTTTGCATCAGACCTACTCCAATCAAGGTGAAACACTATATAACAGTCTCAGCTGGATGCAGCTCAACAGTGAAGGTAAGAGCAGCTGTGGATCAGGGTAGAACTCTGAGAGCCATCACTTGGCCTATGGGCAGTACATTGCCCATCCATACTCAAACCCACAAAAGCAATGAATGTAGTAGTCAAGGCAATGTCAGAACTACATGCGCTATGTTTTTGTGGCTTAAATATACTTTAAGTCCGCAGAAGTGATACTGAGCTGAAGAAAAACCACAAAAATAAGATGATATAAAGACTGGCTCCTCTCTCACGTACGAATCATTTCATATTTAGATGGGACTCTATGCACATGTATTAGATGTTCTGGACCTGATTCTCATTTACACTAAGGGTATGTCTACACAGCAAAGAAAAACCCATGGCTGGCCCATGCCAGCCGACTTGGGCTCGCAGGCTTGGGCTGTGGGGTTGTTTGATTGCTGGGTAGATTTCCAGGCTTGGGCTGGAGCCCAGGCTCTAGGACCCTGTGGGGTGGGAGGGTCCCAGTGCTCAGGCTCCAGCCCGAGTCCAGAAGTCTACACGGCAATGAAACAGCCCAGCAGCCTAAGTCCAAGTCGGCTGGCCCGGGCCAGCAATGGGTTTTTCTTTGCTGTGTAGACATACCCTTAGGGACCTGAAAGCGTGAATAACTTCCATTTACACCCATGGGGAGGCTCCTTTATAAAACCAGAGTGGTATAAAGGGGGCTTAGTGTAGATGAGAATCAGGCCCTTGGTCTTTTTAAAAGTCTGTTACTGATTACTAGTTTTCCTTAAACCCTTTTACATGATGATCAAAATCAGAGAATAGTTGTCAGCTGCTTACATCAGAAAAACATGGGCCTCTTCATTGTCAGAAAGCTCTTGTGAAACAGACGATGCTGACTCCTGAGGCTCTTTCTGAAATACTAAAGAAAAAAATAAAACAATCAACTAAGTTACTAGTTTATTCTCAAAACCTATGCATTCTTGAGGTCTGTTTGCTTTTGTGATGCGACCTGAGTTTAATAGAGGGCTTTTGAGAGATTGTTCTGTAGATTTCCCATCAACAAGTGAATTACGTTATTTGATTAGGGTCTTTCTTTTTGTACGTCTGTCTGTTCAAATCCAGTAATTCGCATCTTTGTATTAATAGGCAGCAAGCCACTACAAGGAAATATTTGGCTTAGCAACCATGGCACATTATACAGAAAATGTTAGATTTGGTCCTTCATCCTGTCAGTCACTTAGGCCCCAATTCAGGAAAGCTTTTAAACTTGTACTTAAGTCCATCCCGATTCAGGTACACTTAAGACATGCTTAACGCTAAGTAGGTGCTTAAATCCCATTGATTTCAAGGGTTACAGATCCTTCACTAAAGCATGGCCTGAGTGCATCTGGAAAAGTCATACTAGAAAACATAGTAAAATAAAAGAGACTTTTCATAGATATATTATTCATACTCTGGTTCATGTTATAACTGAATTACTAAGATATCCAGACCTACCTCAGGGTAACACACAAGAGAATGCTCTTCCAGAGTAGAAGTCAATGTACTACAGTTTCTGTAAGTATGCAGATAATTTAACAGTAGCCGAGCATTTATAATAATAATAAAAAACAGCTTCCATACATCCATTTACCTACTTTCTATTTTTTCCCGTAGAGCTACATTTTCCTCCTCTATATTCTTCTGATGCTGTGTGGCTTCCATTAGTCTGTCTTCTAAAGCTACAATTGTCTCTGAATGTTGCTTGATTTGTTCTTTATATTCCATTATCTCTTTCTGAATTTTCTGCTTCAGTAACTCATTCTCATCCTGAATGAGTGTTAGATGTTTGTCTTGCATCAACAGGTGATCTTGCAACATGGCCTAGGAAACATTTATTAAGTCTCTGAGAAGTTTTCTGCGGAAACTTTTCAAAGCTCTGCTCCGAACTTTTCTTCCATATCATAAAAGAAGTGAATGAACAAGCTGTGTTTCATGAACAGTAGCAAGACCTGAGAACCGTTCCCAGTCCCTGCCCCAACATTTTGGACCTGGTTCCAAAGGGAAAGTGGGGATATTTGACGTTCGTGGAAGGGCTGGGGTTCTTGCCTTTTTAGCTCTCTCACTTACTGGCTGCTTCCCCTGCTTCAGGGATCCAGCTACTGCAGCCTAGGTGTTGCTGTCACTTCCCCCAACAAAGGTTGTTTCAGCTTCCCTTGGCCACAGCCAATGTGCTGCCTATTCCCTGTCCCTTCTGGTTCCCCTCTTAGTCCCCCAGCTCTCAACCCATTTCATAATTTTAACTATAAGTGTGGATTGGTGGAGTTTGACTGATTATGTAACTGACCCTGCTTGAGCCTGGGACCTACAGAGCTAAAACTATGAGCTACTACTACAATACCCACAAACTTCTCATGTGGGTTACAGTTCCATAGGAGGTGACCCCTCAAATTAATAGGTTTGCAGGGGGCTCTGGATGTGCTTGAGCCAGCCTGGCTCATCGAGGTGCAATGAAGAAATTGCATTCCAACAAAAATGTGTATAATGCCAGGGCCGCCTCCAGGCACCAGGCACCCAAGCACATGCTTGGGGCGGCACCTGGTAAGGGGCGGCGGGGGGAGCGCGGCGCAGCATTCCGCAGGGG